ACCATCTGCTTACTGTGTAAGAACTGTAGTCTCACTGGTAAAAGAAGAGGTATCAATTCCCACAGCCTGCAAAGCAGCTATATTTCTTTCAGCCCTCCCTCTCAGGCCACAGAATGCCATGTACAGATCCAGAGTCCCATGAGAAATGGGGACATTTTTTAAAAGAAAAGCCAACTGCTTGTCCCATGCTCTGTTATTTTAGAAAGGCCATGAGGCAATTTGCAGAGGTACAGTCCTGAGAGTCTGCCTCAACCAGGCCTGTGATCTGTTCCTACTAAACAAGTCAGTCAAGATGGTTCCCAGATTAGCTGGTGAGAGCATGCGTCTATGCCGCTCTGATGGAAAGTGCTGGTTACCATGGTTACCACCATTACTGAGCTGACTAACTGCATCACGGCCGTTTTTCTGGGCACGTCAGCTGAACATTTCTGGGGTACCTGCTGCATAAGAGGCCCTGGTCTGGGCCCCTTCCTTACGCCAGGTCAGTTATCCTCAGAGCCCTAAGAAGTGAGCAATGCTCCCATTGGACAGATAACCAACATTCACAAGAGGTTCAACAACATGCCAAGGTTTCTTTGAACTCCTTTTAGAAAGCGTAAATTTAGAGCAGTGGTTCTCAAAAGGTGGTCCCTGCCCAAGCAGCCTCATCATCACCTGGAAAGTTGTTAGAAAACAAATTCTCAGGCCCATCCCAGACAGACTGAATTAGAAACTCTGCGGGGAGGCCTAATATCTCCTCTGGGGCTTGAAATCTCTGAAGGTAGAGAACCATGAGCCAGAGAATCCCAAAGGACACAAAAACTGGGAGCCATCAGCAGCTACAGGTCCCCTAAAACAGTGCTTCCCAATGGATGTTCCAAGGAACCACAGCACTTCTGGAGGTTGTTAAAGAATATTCCCCAAACGAGGGGTTCTGTCAAATGAGTCTGAGAGACCCTGGCCTAAAGTTTAAAAGGTGTTTTTGTCACAAGTTCTTGAGTTCAACTAGGCTAATGTACAAGGTACCACGTGCATCTCAGAGACAGTACCCAGGTGTTACTTCCCGAATTTCCTAGGTTACAGAACCCTCTTTTCTCAGAACACCTTCTATCATCTCTCAGGACACCTGTGTTCCACGGATCCCAGTCTTGAAGGAGTAAAAGCCAAGAAATGCAGAAATTCAAGAAGGCCTTAGTAAATGCCAATCCCCATTCTGGATTTTACAAGATTGGCTTTCTCTCAGCTCCTGTTTAATGACAGCTTTTGCCAGTTCACCATCTCATGTAAACCAGAGAAACAAAGAGTTTACACCAGCCTTAAGGGAGCCGTGGGGTTGGAATTATTAGGAAAAGAAAGTCCTGTGCCAGTGACCCTGGGGCCTTCAGTGACTAATCCACCGCCACAGCCCAGAGGCACCAGGAGCTATTATTGTTATTAGACTCCTAGCAATTTCCAAGAGCTCGTTAATTATTTTAATAACTGAAACTCTTCGGGTGGCCAGGCCAAAGAGATGAGTTTACTCATTCCTCAGATATGTGAACATTTGAAGTGAGCTCCCTGCTCTAGCCCCAGGGCTCTAGGAAAACAAGGTGGCACAGATTCAACAGCTCCCAAGGGCAGACTTGTTTCAGAAACTTCTACCTGCTCTCAGAGTTGTAAATATCTCCATTCCTCCCCAGATCTGATGGTGGGCGTCTATGGAAGTCCCAAGAAGGGTCTCTGACTGACTGTTCCTCGGACAAGAGGGCACTTATTTATTTATTTATTTATTTATTATTTTTATGCTGACATTGGTTAGCGAAATCCAGTAAGTTCAAGCTGTACATTTTAACAGTAAGGTGCATACATATTTTTTTACATTGTGTTCACCTCCCATAGTTAGATTTGTCACCTCATATTTGACCCCTTTTATCTCATCTACCTCTCCTTTCCCCCCTCACCGCTCCCCTCTGGTAACCACGAGTCTACTGTCCATGTCCATGAGTCTCTGTTTGTAGGAGGGCACTTCTAATCTAGGTGAGCTCAGGTGGAAATGAAAGGGGACAAGAAGAGAAACAAAGGGAAAAACAAGCTAGAAGCCACAGAAGCCACAACTAGTGAGGGCCTCCTGAGAGCCCCTGCAAAGCAGCAGGAGTATGTCAGACCAGTGGTCTTTGCCCTTACAGGGCTTGGCCCAGCACAGGAGGCAAACTGAGCTGAGGACACTGCAGCACCGGGCAGTGAGGGTGATGTGACATGAAGACAGAAGGTCAGCAGAGGTGAGGCACAGAGCATTACAGCTTGGAAGCCAGAGTAGGTGGTCCGGCCTGTGACTGGCATCTTCCCTCATGCATTTCCCCCACCTCCAAGGCCTCTAGCAAAGTCTCATTAGAATCGCCCAGCTTATCTTAGTTGTGCCTTGCAAAGGTCATCATCCACATGTGAATTTAAGTGTGAATGGGGAGCTACCTCCAGATGACCAACATCAGCCAGAGTAGGAGCTCACATGACATCTTGGACAGTGAGGCACTTGGAGGTAAGAACCACAAGGCAGAAAGTCAAACTGGAAACAGAAAGGCAGGAAGGGCCTAGGACCCTGACAGTGCCGGAGCCATCACACCAGCTCTGGACCACCCATCTTCTTGTATAAGAAAGAGAAATATATTTCTCATTTTTTTTTTAAATCACCAGGTACATTAAGTATTTTTAAATGGTTCTAATCACGTATTTTACATGTAAAATTAAAAAGCTTAAGTGTAAATTGAAATTATTTCACTAAAGATGCTGACTAAAATAAAATGTATATGCTATTCAAAAATTTTTTTTTTTTAATTAACAAGAATCAAAGCAGCTGAGGCAGCTCTGGAGTGTACTGATTTTACAGCCTACAGAACCCGCCTCAGGGTAAGAATGGAGCAACACCAACAGATCTGGAACATTGTTACCCTGGCTTGCTCTGTCCAGTAATTCAAGGATGCCAGCCCCTGCTATGTTCCTCCTAGCCATTCCTGGAGTCCCTGGGAATGCCTCTCCCTACTCTAAGAACTAGTCCCTATGCCTACCATGTGCCATCTGCTCTCTTCCTGCCCTGGTTAGAAGCAACGTTCAAAACTACTCCATGACCCCTGCTGCCACAAGCCCTGCATGCCGCACAGGGAAAGCAACGTTCATGCAAGCTGGGCTCCAGCCATTTCATGTGACACCTGAGTTGGGAGATTTTTATGACCAGCCCTGGCCACTGTGGATATTCACAGCATCCTCTCGATGATGCCAGGTGGGAGGATATCAAGCTTTTCTGGACCCATACATCCCAGGTGAGGAAATATGGTGCTTCAAAAATAAAAACACATTATCTTACTGGCAATAGGATGCTGCAGAGAGCTAAAATCGCTGGCATAGGAAGCACTCCAAAATTAAATAGGAAATGCTCCAATATTAACATCAGATTTTAGGTGAAGGATTTATTGGCTACCACAGAGGAAGATTTTTTAAAAATCACATTTCCACCAAAACAGATGCTCCAAATGAGCTGTGGGGAAAACACTGGACCAATCATGTACACATTACCAAAGATGGCCCCGGCATGTCAAGAGTCCTGGTAGCAGATTCTTACTTCCCCCACGTTTCTAGTCAATCATTTGAGCTCCACTGGGCTGCTGCCCCTCATCCTGCCCATGCAGTCCATGAATCGGTTGAGACAGGAAGGGCTAGGAGCCAGAGTGTTTGCCCGCTCCCCAACGTTTCTAGTCAATCATTTGAGCTGGGAGGTACATCTCCACTGGGCTGCTGCCCCTCATCCTGCCCACGCAGTCCATGAATCGGTAGAGACAGGAAGGGCTAGGAGCCAGAGTGTTTGCCCTCTTGGCACTCCCTCTGGGACTGGACCACCAGGGGCACCTGTGACCTATTCAGCATAAGAAAGCTACATGCACAGGTGCCACATACACAGAGGCTGGGACAAGGCCTTCCAACTTTCGTTTACACCAACTTCTCAGGAGGGGCTGAAGCCTGTTTCCCCAAAGTTCACAATTGATTCTTGCCCATGTCCACAACCAGTGTTCCTGAATCTCTCTCCACCTGCCTCGACCAGTGCTCCAAAAGCCTTTGCTTGCAAGCCCCAACTTTTCTTGTTCAGACTATCCCCAAAGACAATATTTGTCCTTTCTCTAGCTTCCTACTTGATTCAAGAAACAGCCTTCAATGCATTGTTACAGCTGAATGAAGCTAAGATATTTTCTGAACCAATAAAGGTGGTTTCATGCTCTATGGCCCAAAGTGTCTCCCTGAACGTTAAAACATTTCAAAAAAAAACTAAGGCCATGTGCATCTGTTCCCCAGGCCTCAAACTCTCAGTAATTCTAAGGGCAAAGCTCCACACACAAGGCCACAATAAAGTAAAGGAGCCTCAGAAGCCAAGGCTGGTGGCCCCCTGCCCCAGCTCAGCACTGGGCAAACCAGCCAGATGCCAAAAGCCACTTCCCTGATATGGAGACCAAGCACCATGCAGAAGCCAACACATGATTCTCCTAAGGACACAGAAGCCCTGATGATGAGGTGGCAAATGCCACAGTGGCTTCATGCTGGGAAACCACTAAACACTGGGCTGGAGCCAACCATAGCACAATTTTGTGAAAGTCTAGAAATGCTGATTGTCCTGAGAACTATTCAAATAATGAGAAAATGATGACACTGGCTCCATGCACTGCTGGCTCTCCCCATGCAGACATGAGGGTCACCAGCAGGGAAAGGCAGGGCTCTCAGGATGAGGCAGCCTAGGGCAAGGGAATGGTTTGGAATTGCTGAAAGTCTGAATGGTGCCAACTCCACTTCACTGGCTGTGTGACCCTGCGGAGTTCCTTAGCCTCTCTGAGCTTCAATTTCCTCCCCTGGATGTAAGACCAGTATCTCGCCCTCTTGGATGGTCTGAAGGGTTAGAGACCATGAGACCAGCATGATGTCAGGGCTCTTCCTAAGGGATTAATTAGAGGCATCCAGCAATGGGAAACCACCATGAGAGGAACCAGGGAAAATACAAGGCTGCATACATTAAAAGGCTCAATAAATCCATTGGTCCCATTTGTCATTTACCCACAAGGGCCAGAAACGCAGGATAGACGTTGGTGAAGGAGAAAAGAACATTCAGAAAACAAATTTGTCCCTCCCAAGAGAAGATTTTCCACATCGCTCCTAGCAGCTAACTTGGCAGCAGCCAGCATTTTTCTGGCATGATCTTTCCCATTCTATGGACCGCGTTTTCGATTCTCTGGAGTTAATATCCGGTCTCGGTTTTGTTCAAAGAGTTCTAACATTTTCTGCATGTCGTGGTCAGCCTCAATCACCTGGAAATTAAACACACAGTCACAAGGCTGCACTTAACCTCATCATCATCCTCCTTTCAAAGATGGAGAGAGAGAGATGGAGGCAGGCAGGAAGAGGCAGAGAGAGGAAGGTTAAAGCCAAAAAGCTCCCCGTTCTAGGTCAATCTACATTCTCAGCTATATTTTCACTTAAGAATCCACTATTGTTGTCCCCACAGCGAGCTCTTAAATGATTCTTTTCTCATCATTTTACACCATCCAATTTTCTATTAATAAGGGAAAAAACATAGACTTTACTTCTTTAAAAATCCACGATAGTAATATCTCACTTTCCAGCAACCTCACTGCCTCAAAGAGCCATGAGTAAAAGTGTTTGAGCAGTCCAAACAGATGCCCCAAGGTCATGCACAAAAGCCTATGCAAGAGCATCCTTCAGATCCAGCACTGAATATGCATTTCTAACAGTCTTAGGTATCCATTCGCCTGACTAAAGAGACTAGGCAGCAGCAAATAAAAAAAAAGGGGACTGAGAAGCAAGGGATGGGCAGACATATCAACAGAGTTAGAAACGGCAAGTGTCAGCAAGAGAAAGGTTACCATAAAAAGCGAACACAGGAACTCAAAGAAATGAGTAATCTTGAGCAAAGAGTCCTACACACCTCAGCACCTCCTAAAGGCATCCCTGTGTGACAGCCCAGAACAACAAATGATATTCCTTCGGATGCCCGGGGTCACCAAGAAAAGGTGCAATGAGGCTCTTAACCTGCTATCTACTTGAAGAAGGGACAGTGGCATCAGAAAGACCACCATCCCATATGGTTAAAACAAAAGCCCAGGTCTAGAGGCTTCAACAATCTGGAACGTTCCTTTGTTGACGATGCTGGATATGTGAGATGCTACTGTGATAACTGGTATAATGAAACTGAGACAGATCACGTTCATTCAGGTCTGTCCAACTTACTGAGACTCAGTCCAGAATGGGGACTATGAAAGAGAAGGAGCCCTTTCCAACCTCTCTACTTCCTTCTTCCCCAGAAAGTGAGGAGCAGCCGACATTCCCCGGGTCACTCATTCTTCTAGAAAAGTCTCGTGCCCTGTCAGGGGGACTTACCAGAACAGGGGCTCCTATGGGGAAAAGGCCTCCTTTGATGAGCCATTCCTCATAGAGGTCATGAATAGCGGCCAGGTACTCCTGCCAGGAAACAGAAACAAAAACACACTCATGTACGCATGCGTGCGTGCGCGCGCACACACACACACTCGCACACACACACACACAGGCTGTTAGCAAACCTCTCCCATCCAGGGTCTCGGGCAGGTAGGGCGAATGTCAATGACCATGGGGCAGTGGCTTGGACAAAGCAGCCCACAGCAGCCAACCTTAGGTGGACAGCAAGAAATGCAGCTGCGCATTGGGCCAGTCAGCCTGGCCATCACAACAGTCAGAAGAGTCACCGCGGCTGCCCATCCCATCCTTCCGCTGCACTCTGCTGATACTTCATACACACCCTCCAGCCTGACTTCTCTCATTTACTGCCACTTTTCTAGAAGCAAGCTCACCAGTTTCTTGGGTGGGTAGGATCCATGGCCACACCATGGCCAGGTGTCCCAGCCCTGGGCAGCCTGAATTCTTCACTCCCGCCAAGAAGAACACGACCCTCTCTGGCCTAGGAGCCCCACTCGCGCTGCTTCCACTCCACCAGACAACTTGTAACATGGACTCTCGAAACCAGTGGTCTCCAGTCTTTTTGGCACCAGGGACCAGTGCTCCTATGAGAATCTAATGCCTGATGATCTGAGGTGGGGCTGAGGAGGTGATGCTAGCGCCAGGGAGCGGCTGCAAATACAGATGGAGCTTCGCTCACTCACCCGCTGCTCACCTCCTGCTGTGTGGCCCAGTTCCCAACAGGCCACAGACTGGGCGCTGGGGACTCCTGCTCTAAATCACAAAGACCAACTTCTGAAAGCCCAAGAAGGTGAAACCCATGGGTACAAAAGCCCAGGTCTAAGACATGCCCCTAAGCCGTCCATGCCTCTGTACCAGGCAGGACTCGATCGTACACGCTCTCCCATACATAGGCCAAGGCGCCTCAGCCACCCAACACCATCTCAAGCGGCAATTTACTCCCAGCTTAGACGCGCTCATGTAAACCGCACTGCTGCCTTTTTTACTGAGTGCTCCCTTAGCAACAATAAACAGATTTGTCCTGTAGGTCTAGTCAAAATCATTATGATAATGGCTTGGATAATGGCTTAGAGGGACTCCAGACGTGGCATTTCTTTAAAATATCTGAGTCACGGCACAGAGTTGCTATGCCCCATCAAAGCGTGGTCCATCCCTGCTCCACTGTACCCTTCCTCCAATCACTCCTGTCTCTGGATTTCAGAGGAACTACCCAGAGTGAGGCCTGGACCTTCATGGCTAGAATCTACCTTGCTGGTGCCCAGACAAACAAGGCTGGGCAGGGCTCAGGAGCTGGACAGGCCTCCAGGGCCGTCCTGAGCTTAGACCCCCATGACATCCCAGGATGCTTGCCTAGCCTCTGTCTGTGTACTTCCAGTGGTAGCTTCTCACATGGGGCACTCGGTTCAATATTAACTGAGAAATTCTTAGGTGCCAGGCTCTTGGACACATGCTGGGGATAGAGAGAATGAGATCTGATATTAAAAAGTTCACAGTTTCCTAAGGGATGAGGAAGAACATGTAAACAAATAGCTTCAGTCTGCTTGTCCTAAGGACAGTGATCATAGTCAGCCCAGGGGGAGACGATGGAGAGAAGGTTAGGAAAGTCTTCTTGGAAGAGGTAACATCTGAGCTGAACTTGGAAGGCAAAAGAAATCACTATGCAGAGGCACTCAACATGTGTAACTCCATGGTGAGTGAGCAAGTGAGTGATTTTGTGTGTGTGCGCGCGCGCGCGCGTGTGTGTGTGTGTGTGTGTGTACATGTATAGCCACACTAGTTCGTTATGGCCAGAGTGTGAAAGACAGAGAGTGGAGGGAGATAAAGCCATCACGTGGGCTCTTGTATGGCATGCTATGAAATGGGGACTTTATCCCAGACCATGATGAGGCACTGAGGGTCTGGGGCTGGGAAACTGCATTAGTGTACTGCACTGGAAACATCACCCATGCAGCAGTGTGGAGGCTGAATTTTGAAGGTGGATATGGAGAGGGAGGGACCAGGGCAAAGAGGGCTGTCCAAGTCTGTTACAACAGTCTTGCCTAGAGTACAGGGCACTGAGCCAGAACCCAGAAGGGCAGGGCAGTGTGTTTACTAGTGAGTGCTACTCCAGGCCGAGCATTGTGCTAAGTACTGGGGATGCAGCAGCGAGTAAGGACACATTCTAGAGCAGGTCCAGAGGGCAGGAAGGCAAGCCATCTTCAGGAAGTGACCTGGACACGCCTTGTTGATGCCTGGGCAGAGATGGGGAGGGTGCCAACTGCTTAATCTGGGACACAGGAAGTGAAGCAGATCTAGACATTGCATGGGATCTCCAGCCACAGAGGAAGTCAGAGTTCGCCCTCTGATATGCTCAGTTCCTATTTCTCTCTCTGTGACAACAGCACAATGATCTCATGGAGGGTGGGGCAAGGCTCGGGTGGTGGCAGGTTCCCAGTTCATCTCTAACCCAGTTAAAGGGGGTTCTTACCAATGGAATGACTTTCTCCTCTTCCCTGCATCTCATCTTTAACCTCTGATAACAGGTCTCAGGAGTGGTCTGGAGATAAACTGAGATTACAAAAGTACACGGCTCTAATGACTCTGTTCACTGCTTGAAAGTGAAAGCCAAGGAGAGGGGGAAAGAAGGAACGCAACAAGGCATGGCAAAAAAACATCTGCCAGAATCTCTGAGCAGGAGACACAGACCAGGGGCAGCTCACAGCTTGACCACTGACCAGCTTTGTGACCTGACAGGCACCTTGACCCTCACCCTGACTTTTGTTCCCTTTCCATGTCATCAGCCCCACGGGGTCATCATGAGTTGAATTAGGTGTGTGCGCATGCACACACACAAACACAGAGCTTAGCACAGGACCAAGCACCCAGTGGATCTTAGTAAATGTCCAGGTTCTGTCCCCTCCTCCCTCCCTTACAAACTAGAAAAACCCACCAAAGCACAATAGACCCAGGGGAAAACAGCTTGAGGAACTGAGACTAGGGTGCTTCTCCAGGAGGGACCAGAAGCCCACAAATTCTGCATGCCCTTGGGGAAAAGGCTGAATTGATATAGGAAAAGAATCACCAATGGTAAGGGCCCCCCACCTACCAGCCCTGCATGTTGGGTGCCTGGACAAGCTCATCCTCACTGAGCCCAGGGGATGGAAGACTAGAAGGGAGGCTGGGGAGAGAGGTCAGGAGGGGCCGCCTCACCTATCAAATCCACAGACACATCGATGTTCCTCACGATCCAGTCAAACCACTCCGACAGAACCACATAGTCCACTTCAGGCATCTTCCCGCTGCAATGAGAGGTGTAAGGGCTCTGATTACCCACGAGAAAGTTTCTGAAATGCACCATTCCCCAAAAGGAACTAGGGATGGCTTTTGTTGAAAGGGCATTGCCAAGGGCACCATGGCACAGCGTGATCCATATGACAATGGATGTAGAGTGATGACAAGGATCCTAACACCCCTGATCTCCCCCTGTCTGGGGATGGGAACTCTAAGAGGAGAAATGGGCTTTAAAGCCTGAGGACAGGGACAGCACTCAGGTTAGGAGGTAGAGTAGCAAATTTCACTTTCAGAAATTTATTTTGCAGAAATAATCATGGATGCCCACTGTAGAACTGTTTAGATAATGAAAAACTAAATCTCGGTATATCTATGTAACAAAACCATGCAGTAACTAAAAGATGATGTTGTAAAATAATATTTAATGACATGGAAATGCTAATAATCACATGCTCATAATTCAATGAAAACAGCAGGACATAAAACTGCATACAGTATGACCCAACCATATTTTCAAGAGTATTCATCCATATATTTTGAAAAAAGACTGGAAAGAAAAACATCAAAATGTTAACTGCTTTTCTCTGACCTACAGGACTATGGGAGACTTTCATTTTTTTTCATTATACCTATTCATATTTTCCAAAATTTAACGACATATTAGTTCTCATATCAAGAGTGAAGAGCAGGGGACGAATATTATATATTGAAATTGTT